GGTTCAGATATAGCTATAGCTCCCATATATATTGTTCATCCGATTCGTTATTTTTGTCCACCGCCGCCGTAATATGCACTCTGCAACAACAATATTTGGGGAAATATATCAAATACAGCTCAGAAATACCTTTGCTAAATTTTATCGAGATCGGTTCAGATTTGGATATAGCTCCCATATATAACTTCGTCCGATTTACCTTTTATTGTGCACCAAACGTGTAATATTTGTCCAAATCGGATGGAATTTGGCACTTACGACCGAATTGAGTCTAGAAGCTAGTATGTCAAATTTGGTGAAGATCGGTTCAGATATAGCTATAGCTTCCATATTTGTTGTATTTGTTACCCACAACCGTAATATGCACTCCGTAACAACGATATTTAGGGAAATATATCAAATACAGCTCCGAAATATATTTGCCAAATTTTATCGAGATCGGTTCAGATTTGGATATAGTTTCCAAATATATCTTGATCCGATTTCAAATTAATTTCGCACCAAATGGGCAATACAAGTCCGAATTTAAAAGATACAAATGCTTTGGCATATTTAGTCCATTGAACTTTAAATTATAATTATAATCATAGCGTGTATGATTGAATTCTCCCATAAAAACTTTTAATTGTTATGTGGAGCTCTACTAAATTAGCAAAAAGGTGTAGGGTATCATAGGACTTTCTCTACTGGTTTTATAATGGCATAGTTTTTACTTGTCTTATACCAAAATGTCGTGTATTTCAAAATAACACCTTTGTGGTAAAACCCTCTATTTTTCCTTTGGCATTCAATTCTCACAGTCATACAAAATTAGACCATTCTTTCTAATTTTTGTTTTTTTTTTTTATGTCCAAGCAAATTTTTAAAAACTTACCTAGACTACATAAGGACCAATCGCTGCTGTAATAACTTTCCAAATAAACTTTTCTCAAGAAAATTTTAAGTTTATCTTAATAACAATAAACTCTAGAAGATTTGTGGAATAACTTTCCGCCACACACACATACTTTTCTATGTCATTTAAGAGTAGAAATAAAGATACTTTTCGGCTCCAAGTTATTTGGGCCAAACTGGAAATGACAAAGTCCAAAGCAATTAATAGTGGTTTAATGTGCTTATAAAGTCATTACGGATGCTTAAGGAGATTTTTCATGGCAAAAAGACCACTGTAGTTACCAATTACCAACAGCAACAACAACAACAACAATAAAAAAGAAAATATATCAATGTGATACTAAGTCGATCCGCTCTTGGTAAAGAAAATAACTGCAGATGGTCAATTAAAGATAAATTTGATGTAGGAAAAATAGATGAAGACGGACGATAAGTCGCACCGAAATAACAACACTGTCAACCACAAAGTTAATATGCCATGTAAAAGCTTAACCAAGCAAGGATGGATTTTATACAACAACAAGAAAAAAGGGTTATCTGCTAAGCTGTTGTCACAATTGTCAGTCTTAGTGGTGGCATTTTCAAGACAATGTCCTTCTTTCTTGGCTTTGTAATTTAGTAGGCGGCAAATAACAAAGACTGCCCCTTGGGTATTGACATTCTTTGCACCAAGAAGGTCTTAATTATTTTTTTTCTGTGGTTAATTTAAAATTGGTTTTGGACGCACACAAACCACACACTAAACACATAAATATTGTTTAAAATTTTAATAAAGATATGGTTGAACAAACCATAAGCAATGAATTAATTTCACCCCCTGGCTCTTTTAACAAGCTCCACGCAATTTAGTAAAAGGACAAAAAGCCTCGTCTAAGCAATGGCTTGTAATGGTTTTTGGACAAAATCTGCCAAAGTTTTTAAATTAAATTTTGAGGTTTTCTCTTTTTTTTCGGTTTGTTTACAATACGTAGAGACTATGCCAAGGTCTAAAGGAAATTTTCGTAGAAAATTCCACAGAGATTGAGAAAACTCAATAAGTCATTGGATAAAAGAAATCTTTGCCATAACTTTGAGACAAAATGCATTGTGAGCTTGAAAATGTATAAGTCTACCGTAAACAGTTAATGGGTAGTTTTTTTTTTTCAAAATGTCTAATATAGATACCAAATTTTTTTTAAACTTTTAAAAGTAACAGAAATTTTTTACATCTGAACGCTACTGTGTTAAGGTTATATAAATTGTATTTTAAATTAAGAAGCACATTAAGGAAAATTTTAAAGGCCTTAAAGGCACAGACACACAGCCCAAACATTGAATTGAAATAAAACAAGTAAAAAAGGTGTAAGTTCGGCCGGGCCGAGCTTTTAATACCCTCCACCATTTGGCACAAATTTGGCAATTTCCAAAAAAAAAAAAAAAAAAATCCGTTAAAAATTCTGTTAAAATCTTAAAAATACCGAATGCCTATACGACGACCTGGACCTGCATAGGCAACTTATGTCATAAGTTATTACAATATTTTAATGCGAAACTTGAAGAAAAAATCTGTTTATAATGTAGTTAAAATCATCAAAATACCGAATATAGGGGTTACTGTTATATGGGAGCTATAGGAAGACGTGGACCTGCATTACGAACTTCACATGCGAAATTTGAAACATTTCCGGTAAATAATGTCGCTAAATGCATCAAAATACCGAATATCGGGGGGAACGGTATATGGGGGTTATACGAACATGGCTCATTTTTTACATGGCTCATTTTCTGCTTTATGCTGCACTATCTATTACGAACTTTAAATGCCAAATTCGAAACAATTCCGGTGAATAATGTCGCTAAAATCATCAAAATACCGAATATCGGGAGGTACCGTTATATGGGAGCTATATGATAACTTGGACATATATGGCCCATTTACGAATTTCTCCTGCCTACTGGCAAAATATACATGTGTGCAAAATTTTAGCCTTCTATCTCAATTTGTTCGAAAGATAGCGTGATTACAACAGACAGACAGACAGACGGACATGGCTAAATCGTCTTAGCATTTTACGCTGGCCAAGAATATATATACTTTGTTGGGTCTGACATGAGTATTTCGAGGAGTTACAAACGGAATGACAAAGTTAATATACCATCCATAGTATTGAGGAGGGTATAAAAATATATAAAATAGTCGGACCGGATGACCATGTGATACTCTACACAACCTAACATTGAGATAGGCCCTCTAGATCTAAAAACAAGAATGCAAAAATTCTTTAGGAAATTGAGGTGAATAACTTGATTATTTTCTATGTAATCCAAAAAATCGTGAAAACAGAGGATGTTCAAGGTGACATGAAAAAACTACAACAAACTTCAGATTACTGTCATTTCCAAGGCACTCGTCAGACAGCTGTTAAAATTATTCCAGTGACATCTTATTATATTGTTTACAAATGTACAAAAGAACCTTGGTGAGCATTTTCCAGAAAAAAAGTTATTCCTGATGGAATTCAAACGTGATAGTGTGATTTCTTTATATTTGGCTGGAAAACCACAAGTGGCTACCAGAAGACCACAAGCGGCTATTGTTAAATGTGAATAAATCTTTTGTGTCTCATACCATCGCTCGTGACCGTGATACTGATAGCGTAGCCCGACGTCAAGAAAGCGGAAGAAAACAGCAACATCAGCAGAAATGGTTCGAAAAGTAAAGAAGCGACTTGATCGAAACCCGCATCGCAGTGAACGAAAAATGGCTCGTGAGCTGAAAATGAGCTCGGGGTAAAGCCATTGAAATTCCCAAAACTTGCAAGAACTTACACCGCAACAGAAATAAAATAGACTCAAAAGAGCTAAAGAGTTGCTTCGCTTGGCCGAAAGTGGTGAACTGCCGAATTTGGTTTTCTGCGATGAGAAAACATTCGTTGTCCAGCTGTTTGTACAAAAACAAAATGATCGTGTTTACATGCCAAAGAGGTTAGCTGAAAATTTGCACCTTCGGTTGGCCACCAGAATTCAAGCGCCGGTCATGGTGATGGTGTGGGCCGCCATAACAGCCGATGGTCGCTCTCCGCTCGTATTAATCGACCGTGGCATTAGAATAAATATTATAGCGAAAATATTCTGGAGGGTGTATTTAAGCCTTGGGCATGCAAACATTTTGGCCGCAGACCTTGTACATTCCAACAGGACTCAGCACCATCGCACTTAGCACACCCCACCCAAGAATGGTTACAAAATGAGGTTCCTCGCTTCATTTCCAGCGTATAATGGCCACTAAAATCTCCGGATACCAAGCCCTTTGACTATTGTGTCTGCAGTATTTTGGAAAGCACGGTTGGCACTAAAAAATATTAAAGTGTCGATCACCTCAAGCAAGCGCTTCGCCGGTAATGGGCCAAAATAACGCAGAGCAACATTCGGGTAGCATGTGATGGATTCGTTGGCCATAATTCATGCCAAAGGTGACCAATTCGAAAAAAACTAAACTTATTCTAACATTTGATACTATTTCCGGCATTTTTTGCTCTTATTCAATCAAATTTAAAAAAAGATGTAAAAATTATGGAGTTTGACTTTGTTACAGTTTATTTTTTTTTTATCTCAGCCTGTAGTTTTCCAAATTTGTGCTTATGTGCACGAAAAGTACTAAATGGTACTAAGTTTGGTACAAGTTTGACGTGGGTGAACTGTAGATCTGGAATATTTAAATTTGAAATAAGGAATACTGTTGGAGTGTAGGAATGAGGAATGTAGGGAGTTGTGGAAATTCTTTTTTTGTGTGTAGTAAATGGTATTAAATTTGATACAATTTGGATTTTGATGAACCGATAGGGCTGGAATCCTGAAATTTGGAATTATGATTACTGTTAGAGTATAGAATTGGGGTTTTTATGACGCCATACCCATTGTACCACGGAAAATGGCTGAACTCGCAGAAAAGCTTGACGTAAGCCCAGGCTAGGCACCAATATTTGTGTTTTAATGGTCTCATCACTCCAAAGCTTAAACTATGTTTCTACTTAATTTCGATTATACTTGATTTATGTAACTTTTAATAATAATTACATTATTTAAAAAAAAAATCTAACATATTTTTTCTTTTCTTTTATTTACAGAACATTCAAGAAGAGATGCAGCGCAGTCGGAGCCGGGAAAGTACTGATGTGCTCAACCATTATAAACTGTTTTGTAAAGTAATGCGATAATTTATATAATTTCCTATTCAAAGAGTCAAATATTGAATTTCGAGAGAGAGAGAGAGAGAGAGAGGGAGAGAGAGAGCGAATTGATTTGGAGATAGATGTTTATATTGTTCGATGCATGTGTTCCTTCCGACGAAGAAATGGCAGATCTTTGCAGTTCCTTTTGAAACTAATACAAGTAAGAAGACGTTATGTTCGGACGGGCCGAATTTCTAATACTCTCCACCATTGGATAAAGAAAACATTTTTATGCATTTGGATAAAGAAAACATTTTTATGCAAGAGTATCTGTACTAAACTACAAACTCCAGTAAAATGGGTAGGAGAATGTTTGGATCCATATAACAAGGCCATACTAAAACGGGAGCCTACATAGACAATTTCATACTACAACTAGTGTAATCTATTGTGAGTCTTAAATACCATTTTTTTTAATAATTTAGTGGATAAATGTGACTAGGAGCAATATGGACAATGTTCCGACGCCGATTGTAGTACCCATTATGGAGTACAAATACAAAATTTCACACAAACCTAAATGTGGCATAAATCGTCACAATGTCAAATATCCAATGGAACTGCTGTATGTGCGCTATAGGAAAACGTGGACCTAGATATTCAATGTTCTGCCACCGGAGTTAGAACCCATTATGAGCTAAAAAATACAATTTTTTAGACAAATCCGTAGAAAAATGTGGGTAAAACCTTTAAAATATCTAATATCGGGAGGTACCTGGGCTATACGAAAACGTGCACCTACATGTACAATGTTCCTCCATCGCATCTAGAATCCATTACGAACTACAAACATCATTTTTAGGCAAATCCATGGAAAAATGTTAGAAAAATGCCGAATATCGGAAGGTACCGTTATATGGGGGCTATACGAAAACGTGGTCCTCTATGTGCAATGTTCCGCCACTAGAGCTAGAACCTATAACGAACTAAAATTACCAATTCTAGACAAATTGGTGGAAATATGTGGCTAAAACTATCAAAATACCGAATACCGGGAGGTATCGTTATATGGGTGAACCGATATTTTCAATACCAACCATCCTAGACACAAAGCAAACAACGGTGCCAAAGCTCTACGTCAAATAATGTGAGCTGCATCGTGATTTCAACAGGCGGACAGACAGACGGCCATCGTTAAATCGACTTTAAATTTTATGCTGATCATGATACTTTATGGGGTTTATGACGGTATTTAGAGGTGTTACAAACGGCATGACGGGCCCTATTCTGTAACTTTTTTACAACTTTATTCATTGTTTATTTTTTTTGAAAAAAAAAATGTGTCTGCTTTGTTATACCTTAAGCCATATGGCTACAGAGGGTATATATCATTTGATACGGTCAAAACGTGCCTAGTCTAAATAACGGTTTCAGACCCTAGGTCTCTTTGGACCAAATCCGTTTCAGAACATTTGGAGTCGATTTACCGATGTCCGTCCGTCCGTCCGTCTGTTTGTCTGGCTGGTGCGCACGATAACTTTCGAAGGAAGTATCCGATTTGATCCAAACTTGGTATATCGTAATATTTTTGTCAAACTTAGATCGAGTTCGGAGATGGGCAATATCTGTCCACTCCTTCTGGTACCTCCCACACAAAATGTCAAAATTTTCAAAGAAACGAATTTATTGCACAGAAAAAGAAAGGATAGTCTTCAAATTTCACACATCCCATTAATTGTATTAGACCAAGGTCTGGAGTGAAAATGGAATGTATCGGTCCACTCCTTCTGGTACCTCCCCCCAAAAGGTAGAAATTTTCAAAAAATATTTTCTGCACAGAAAGAGAAAAATGTGATGTAAGAGTCCGATAGTCTTTAAATTTCACACATCCCAATAATTTTATTAGCCCAAGGTCTGGTGTTGACATGGAATGTATCGGTCCACTCCTTCTGGTACCTCCCCACAAAGTGTCGTAATTTTGAATATCCATGAAGCTCATAAAACGTCAAATTAACATCCGATTCCATTTAGACTTGGCACATCTCAATATTTCCATCAACAAAAGATCTGTTATAAAGGTGGTATAGATCGAACCACTTCTTCTGGTACCTCCCCCATACATTGGGTTCAAGATTTTGAAAAACAAAACACTCAAATAAAGCGAAATAAGCATCCAACTCTCCTCAAATTTCACACATACAAATATTTTTGCCAACACAAGATCTGTTGTGAAGTTGATATAAATCTGGAAACCCCTTCCGGTACCTCACCCACAAAAGGTCACGATTTTCAATAATTTTATGTGTCATAACTTTCGAAACAATTTAGCAATTCTTTACTACTTCCTATGCTCAAATGTTTCTCTCAATAAGAAGCCTGATATGAATATGAAATTTATAGGAATTTATGATTTCGCATAAAATTGGAAATAAATATCCTTTCTTGTAATTTGCCCAATATTTCGCTCAATATTTTTTATTTGTATCAGATGAAGTATAAAAATGGAATATTTCGGTAGACTCTATCTGGTACATCACGCACATTTTAACATTTTCTAAAAATTATTACATATCTCATATAAAGTGAAGGGGTGAGTCGATATAATCCATACCAGGAACGTCGGAATATTTATATCATATTTTTGGGTCCGATACGAAATGAACAATATTGGTTCATTCCTTCGAAACCTGCTCCATAGAGGGCCAAACGTTTGAATAACACTAGTCAAATATATTTCGATTATTTAATCGAACATAGGCTGAGGGTATATATCTGTCGGCAATACCGACTGATACTTTTTAAATTGTTTGTTTTTTTTTACAAAAAAAAAATAAATAAATAAACAACTACCAATGTATCGATAAAATTTGCAGAGTAGGTCTATAGGACTCCAGAAGTTTTTTTTTTTTTTTTTTAAAGACTTATGTTTCAAGCGCTTCTATAGATTTTCCATAGTTATGAGGTCCTCGTCTAGAACTCCCACTGCAATAAGGCTTTTTTAACATATTTTATTCTTTTTGATGAGAAATCGTCTAAGATTCCTCCTCTACATATGAAATACCTATATTCTTGAATAGATTATAAATTGTGACTCTTTTAGAAATTTCGTAAAAAAAATGTTAATCATTGGAAATATGTTTTTATATACAGATGTACTTTGTACTGCCGCTACCATAACAGAGATGCCAAATTTTTAATGAAACCAATTAAGACAAATACAATCAATGTTATTAAAAATAAAAGAATGGAATGTAAAAAACTCTTCAGAAAAAAAAAACTAAATATATAAGAAATAAGAATTTTTAGTAGGACAACAGTGTAGAAAGTTCAAGTCACAAGAAATAAAAAAAAAACAAAAAACAGAAAAACCCAAACCCCTTGAAACAATAATTTTTAAATAATAAAATAGATAATAATTAAAAGCAACAAAAACAATTAAAATAAATCCATTGTAGTTTAAGATGATTCCATTTTGTGTACAAAAGAAAGAAGTTAAATAACAATAAGATAATAGCAACAAAAACAACAAGTAATATATTTTATTAAAATAGAAATAAATAAAAAAACTCTAGTCCTAGAGTAGTTTTAAATTAAATTAAACTAGCTTAGTTTTATTAACAGAAATCATCATTTCTTTGTATGTATATAGCAACTTCCACTTCCATAATGATAAACAACAAGGCCTTCCATATTGCCCTACTGCATCTATGTCTTCTCTTCCATTTAATCCTCAAAAAAAATACTGTTTTCTCAAAAATCCATTGTTGACAAATCCTTTCCTTAATCCTCCCCCCAATTAATAATAGAACACAGCAGACATTGATAAAGAAATAACACCAAATATAACTAAAAAAATCTTTTTTTATATCCTGTCTATTTTTATTATAATTTAAGGAATTTTGTCTTCATTTAAGTTTAACAACAAACACATGACAAAAAAGAAAAAACAAATCAATGTTCATAAAATTAAATGCCAAAAAGCAACAACAACAAGAATGTAGTTTTAACATTACTTTGTAAAAAAAATAAATTCAAATGAAAATGTAGCCAAAAATTTTTGATGAAACAAAAAACTGAAAACCAGCAACAGCCAAGTCGTCTTAGGAAGAATAAAGTCAAATATTAAAAAAAGATAAAAAACAAAATCCCATAGAGATTAAGAAAAATAGTTTTAGTCCATACATATTTATGTATATTGATATGAAGATGATGATGGTTTATCTTTAAATTACATCTAATAAAGATAAACAAGATGCAAATTTATTTAAAATTGAAACACAAATTGTGAGAGTGTGTGGAATTTTTTTTGGCCATTAGTAAAAGGTAAGTTACATCAAAATTGATATAAAATGTCATGATGATGATTTGGACAAAATATACATTTCTGTGCCTATAAATTCAGGTTACAAATGTAAGGATTTTTTGAAAAATTAAACAGAAATTATCAAAATTCTGAATAAAGCAAGTAAGCAAAGGCTACAGTCGAGCGGGGCCGACCGTTGAATACCCTACAACACTATAATAAACGATACAGTTTATATAGGCGAGATACTCGGAAGAATTCCACAAGATATTGTGACAAATAATAAAAGAAAACCATCAGGTTTCGTTCTCTAATTTTCGAATAATAGCAACTTTAACTAATTTGCTCATTTCTAATTTATTGGAAGATGTTGCACGTAAATGGTTTTCCTAGATCTGGAACCAATATTTCCCAAACACCTATAATCTCTCAGAAGTGGCAAAAGATTAACATTTATTATTGGTTTTTGGCTGAAACGCATCTATATGAGATATAGACATTTGACTATATTCTTCAACGAAATCAGCGTTAACGAAATAGTCAGAAGTGCGTCTTTCCAGTATTTGTGAATTCTCCAAAAAGTCACTGGAATGGACATTTTCGTATTTTGTCTACAAAAGTTGGCAAACTATTTCGCACATTGAATATTTTTGGATGGCCATCCAAAACTGCTTGGCTTTTGCAATGTCTGGGGGTTACCCCATTCAAATGTGCGTAAGGGTCGGGCGATAATTACGACCTGCTGACAATTTTGCAGTTTTTTGGTCCATTTCAACCCCTAAATATATGGCGATCATCTCCAAAAAGAGTAGGCTTCTATTCTGACCCTCATCTTATCCCCATTCAAAATTTCGTAAGGATCGGGCCATAAATGCGATCTGTATATGATAACCTGATATCCTAACCACTTAGTTTTGTTAGCTGTAGAAATATTACCAAATGTTTAATTCAAAATGAAAATATGCCAAAAATATGGCAAAAATTGAAAAAATATGAGAAAATTTTACAAAATCAATATTTTCATCTTTAGAGAGATATTTTTATGCGATTTTTTTAGACGTTTTTTCTTTCCTGCCAAGAGGCCATTCTGAATTAATGAGAACTGTCGAAATCAGTTCAGCCGTTCTCGACATATAAGAGATTTTTCAAGCATATCTTCTTTGATAAACATATATATCGCACATATTGTGCTATATATCCGATTTGTTGGATGTTAACATCAATGTAAAGGTCAGAAGTAACCTTGTCATGGCTTTGGATTTCGCCGGGATTTAAAATATTCGCGGTTTAATGAAAAATTTTGAATTTTTTCAACACAAAATATATGGTCTATTTTACCCGCTAAATATTATCCGATGACCACCCAAATTGGTAGGCTTCTTCCCCGTCCTAAACTCTAGCTACATGCGAAATTCCGCGTCGATTGGTCTACAATTGCGACCTGTATAGCTACTGCAAAATCCGACATTTTTTCAGTATTTGGTCCATTTCAACCCCTAAACGTTTGGCGATCATCTCCAAAAGCAATAGGGTTCTATTCTGACCCAAACCCCATTTCGTAAGGATCGGGCCACAATTGCGACCTGTAGCGTGATTACAAATTAACATGGACAGACGGACAGACGGACGGACGGACATACATAGCTAGATCGACTCAGCTCGGCGAGCTAGGAAGATCCATATATACTTTCCTATATGGGAAACCAATATTTCGTGGTGTTACATAATTTTTGGCCCAATCAAACTTATAATACCCCCAACACATAGTGTTGTAGGGTATAAAAAGATACAGTTATATGGTTACTAAACCAAAATTTGAACATGTCTGGACAGTTCTTTGTAGGGATTTCCCTACATTCTGGAACAAAAACTAAAAAAATGATTATATCATTCAAAATATCATTAAAATTTTTAAAACATTTTAAATACACATTTTACAAATATACATTTTTATACCCTACAACACTATGTGTTGGGGGTATTATAAGTTTGATTGGGCCAAAAATTATGTAACACCTCGAAATATTGATTTTCCACATAGGAAAGTATATATGGATCTTCCTATCTCGCCGAGCTGAGTCGATCTAGCTATGTATGTCGTCCGTCCGTCTGTCCGTCTGTCCATGTTAATTTGTAATCACTCTACAGGTCGCAATTATGGTCCGATCTTCACGAAATTTAGAATGGAGGTGGGGTTTGGGCCAGAATAGAACCCTATTTCTTTTGGAGATGATCTCATAATATTTAGGGGTTGAAATGGACCAATTACTGAAAATTTTCCTGATTTTGCAGATGCTCTACAGGTTGCAGTTATAGACCAATCGAAGCGGAAGTTAGCATGTGGCTAGAGCTTAAGGCTGAGCTGAAGTCTTCCAATTTTGATGGTAATCGGGTAATATTTAGTGAGTGAAAAGGCCATGACACTTGTGTTAATAAAATCAAATTTTCCATTAAACCGCGAATATTTTTAATCCCGGCGAAATCACAAATAGACGAATAGGTCAATCCTGACCGTTACGTAGATGCCGATAGTAAATATATCGGATATATATAGCTAAATATATACAATGTATATATACAATGGAAGGGGATGTTAGCTAAAATGCTTATATCTCAAGAATGGATGCACCGATTTTGACAAATGATTCAGAATGCCCTCTTGGTATAAGAGTATAAAATCTAAAAAAATCGTATAAAAATGTGTCAATAATGGTGTTATTATAGATTTTGTAGTATTTTGTGACACTTTTTTTATTTTTTCATATTTTTTATCGCATGCGATTTTTTCAATTTGACCTATAATATTGAAATGTATATTTTGTAATATTTTTTCACCTTACAACACAGGTTGGGGTTATTATATACAGATTGGAATTATCTTCCGATCTTCACGAAAATTTTCACAAGGGTAGGGTTAGGCTCAGAAAAGCTATTGTTTTCAAAGATGACCGCAATATATTTAGGGGTTGAAATGGACCAACCACTAAAAAGGTTCCTGATTTTGCAGCCGTTATAAGGTCGCAAATAGAAACCAAAGGACAGCGGATAGAATGTACCTCTACTTTTGTGTGAAAAATATACTAACATTACATACCGGCGATATCCGAAATACACAAAAGGCGAAATTCTGGCTTTCTATGCTGATTTCGTTGATGAATATAGCCAAATATCGTAGACAAACAAATCATATAGATGGGTCTAAATTTGTAGATGCAGAACGGCTTCTTGCTTTTGGAGATGATCGCAAAATATTAAGGGGCTCAAATGAACCAAAACAGAAAAAAAAATACTGATCACACAATTGAAGCCAATCGACATGCCTGATGATGAGGATGACCATTGGATTATATTTAGCTGTAAAACTAACAGCACGACGGAGGGCGCAAATGTTCTTGGTCAAAATGGTAAGGGCAATATCCGGGCAGTGCTCCATGACAAAATTTCAAAAGCGAAATCTTCCAAAATGGACTTGGACATAAGGGTGCTTCTAACATATTGTAGTGTTGTAGGGTATCACATGGTCGGCCCCGCACGACTATAGCCTTTGCTTACTTGTTTCAAAATAAATAAATTCGACTTATGATTCTATGGCATGAGTTCCAAATATATTTTATGTATGTAGTGTCATCGAAAATGTTACACGGAAAAATAGAGGGAGTTTTTTTTAGTAAGCCCTCAGTCGAGCCATGAAAGAGTTCATTTAGGTCCTTTTCTTCAAACATTAATATATGATCGTTTAAGATTGATTGGCTGACTGACTGCATTTTGATTCATCAGAATTCAGACGAAACGGCTGAAGCTCAAATCTTGAAATTATGTGTGAGGATCAATCTAGGTGTCAGATAAGGCTGTGTTTTTTGGAGATTCGTACTAGAAAAGTACAGAGAGTGCTAAAAGGAGCTAAGTATGACACCCTTTGTATTTGACGCGCCAGCAGAGCTAGAACTTTTAAATTTCGAATGAGGGTCACTGATGTAACAAAGGGTTCTTGGAAATTCGCAATATAAGTGTACGAAAAGTATCAAAATTTACTCCATTTCGTATTATGTGAACCGTTAGAGCTAAAAACTTGAAATTTGCAATGGGAATCAAGGTTAAGAAGTAGCATTGATGTAAGGAGGTAGTTTTTCATGAATACGAAAAGTACTAAACTGTACTGAAATTGGTACAATAAGTATTTGGAGAAACGGATGGAGCTGGAATCCTGAAATTTGAACTTAACATTACTGGCGGCGCGTATGATGGTATATGGATGTAGTTTGGAATTAAGATTTTTATATGTATGATGTAGGTTGTTATGGAAATTTGTACTTATGTGTACTAAAGTTACTAAATTTGGTACAATTTACATTTGAGTAAACCAATAGAGCTAGTATCCTGAAATTTCATAATAAGATTTATATCGGAGAGTAGGATTGGGATGTGGATGTGATTTTGGAAATATATTAAAAAAATATACCTTTCATTGAACAAATGTAAAGCGCTAGAATTTGGAAGGAGAGACTGTTGGAGTGCCGGATAGATGTACCAAATGGTTTTAGGAAATTCCAGCTTTAAGGTTACGAACAGTTCTAAACTGGTACTAAAATTGTAAATTGGAATCATGTTAACGGACAAGCTAAAAACGTGAAATCTGAAATTTTTGCATCGAGGTTGGAAAGTAAGTTGATACATTAGAGTGGTTTTGGAAATGTGTACTAAATGTGTCAACTGTACTCAATGTTACTAAATTTGGAGGAGTTTGGTTTAAGGTAGACGGATGAAGCTGGAATTTTTTTTCTACTAGAGATGTGGTTTTGGGAATGTGTATTACAAGTACACGAAAAGTTATAATAGTACCATATTTGGTACAATTTGGTATTGGGTGACCAGGGCCTCAATTCTTGTCCTATGAAAATGTGAAATGAAAACTTTTATAAAGGAAAGAAATGTTAAATGAAAAATTTTATAAAGCAAATATTTTTCATT